GAAGGTCTAGGGTTTTTGATTCCTTATGATTTGATTGTTAGGGTTTCCAGAATTGGAAATGTTTATCTGAAATGTCTCCTGTACTATGTTGTATGTGCATTTAATTATCTGAGTTTCCAAGTGATGAATTAGGTTGGTTTTTTTTCCCTTGCATATACTCTTTAATTACGGTTTTGATGTTTGAGTATTTAAAAACAAAAATAATAATCTGAAAAACTGATTGATGTTTGGGTGATTCGTAGTTGTATATCGTTTGGTTGAGGCCACCTGTGTTCTTAGATAGTCATGACCTTAAAGTTTGTTGCTTTTGTTGTATTGTGGATCTGTTGATATCTGTATAGGTTTTTTTCTTAACATTGTATGCATATGAACATTGGTTTTCATTGTGTATTGGGTGGATCTATTACAGACCGGATGCTTCAACTCCTATAGAAGAGACAGTGAGGGCGATGAATTACGTGATTGATAAGGGGATGGCATTCTACTGGGGAACGAGTGAATGGTCTGCTCAACAAATTACAGAGGCTTGGGGAGCTGCAGAGAGGTTGGATTTGGTCGGTCCAATCGTCGAACAGCCTGAATACAACATGTTCGCTAGGCACAAAGTTTGTGATCTAACACTCTTTTTCTTCAATTTACTTTCATGTTTGCCTCTTATTTAGTCTTAAGTTGTGCTCTCATGTTATGTAGCTTAAGTCTTGCTCTTATGTTATGTAGCTTAAGATGTGCTCTTAAGTTATATTTGCTCAAGTTGTGATCTGATTTTATGTAGGTTGAGTCAGAGTTTCTTCCTTTGTACACCAACCATGGCATAGGTCTCACCACTTGGAGTCCACTTGCATCCGGAGTGCTCACTGGTAAATACAACAAGGGAGCTATTCCCTCGGACAGCCGATTTGCATTGGAGAACTACAAAGTATTCCTTTTTTCCGCTTTTTCTTTTGTATTCTTGGTCATTATTGGTTTGACCTATCTCTGCTTCTTCATCTAATAAATCTACTGGTTCGTTTCCCGGTTTAATATATTTTGCAGAACCTTGCCAATAGATCACTTGTGGATGACGTGCTGAGGAAAGTTAGCGGCCTCAAACCGATTGCTGATGAGCTAGGTGTAACCTTGGCTCAGCTTGCGATCGCCTGGTGTGCTTCAAATCCTAATGTGTCATCCGTTATCACCGGTGCCACAAGAGAGTCACAGGTTAGTCCTTTGACAAGCCTCGGTAGTTGTTCTCGATAATGAACATATCGAGTCTCGGTCTAAATTTCGATCCAAGATTTGAATTAAGATTTTGTTTTTTTTTGTACCTACACAGATTCAAGAAAACATGAAAGCTGTTGATGTTATCCCATTGTTGACACCAACTGTTCTTGACAAGATCGAGCAAGTGATACAGAGCAAACCGAAACGTCCTGAATCCTACCGGTAAAACCAAAACCCCGAGATCTCTCTTCCCCTATTCGATCGGTTTCAAAAGAGTGTTTGTTCTTGGATGTTGTCTCGTGTTGGTTTGTGTTGTTCTCATGCATTTTAAGACTC